AGAAAGCATGTATAAATAATATAATAACGTAATTCCATTGATATTGAGATGTTTTATGCATTTTCATTTCGGGTGTTCACAGAACTTATAAATTTTGCTTTGGCCGCAGCTCGTTCATTCGGCGGGCTTCCTTCTAGTGTGCTTTAAAATGTGTTATATGTTTTGCATATTTTGACAGTTTAAAACTATATGATTTTTAAATTAACTGAAGCTTAATTTTACCAGCTACATGGCTAATAAAATTTACCATTATGAAGCTATACCAATTAAAATTTATTTTTATATTATACTAATTAAATATTCGTAAACGCATGCATTTCATTCATGGATTAGCGTTTGAATAATTTCTTTCAAATATCATCATTTTTATCCCTTAAATATTTAAAAATGAGGTTCTATCTTTTATAGATAATAAAGGTTATAGGAAACTTTCAAAGGAACCTTTTTCATTTATTATTATAAGTTTTGTAAGTATGTTTTTGCAAGTCACTAAGGAAAACAAATTGACGTCATGAAAGAATATGGCATATTTTGTTAACAATTTTTAAATCTAGAATTAGAGATTTCATATCTGAATTAAAAAATAATATAATAAATCTCAATGAATACCACAGAAAATTATGAGTTATTCCTTTATGTTGTATTTATGCCATTAGTTATTCCTTTATGTTGCATTTAAATTCATTGCCATTTTCTTTTAAATATTGAAATAAATGCACATACAGTCGAATTTTATATTTACTGGATGCAAATTTCAAAGACAAAAGAATTTGACGATATCAATGCTTTTCGGTGAAAGAGCATTGATATCGGAGCCTTTTCTTGGTTCTCTCCGCTTGTTTACATTTCGATAGCAAATATAGCTCTCGTTTACACAACTGTAACTTTTATTTAATAGGAAGATCCGATATTTTTCGTTATTATGGTATTGAGGGAAAATAATGTTAAACAGAAACTTAAGTGTTGTCCTAAAATAAGAGTCATTACAGAAGTTTTAATCGGAGCTAGAGTTACTGTTGTATACGTATCCGAAACTCGTGGAATCAAAATCAATAAACATTTGCGTAAGTTAACAAAGATTAAAAGAATATTTGAAAGTGCTTGCATTCGAATAACAATACAAGTAATTATGGCAACTCTACCCACATGTTGTTCTGAAAGTAGCGATTCATTCAATTATCATGAATGTTTGCAAAATTGAACTGGCATAATATAATCATTGTTACTTTTCTCTTTTAAAATTATTTTATACTATTTTACATTTTAATAAATGAAACAAATAGTTGTTCCTTATTTATTGCAACTGAATTTTATATATGTAACATTAACTGAAATTTCGGAAGTACAGCTGATATATTTCGGAAAATTATCCTTTAAAATGGTATACAAAAGTTCATAAATTGGAAACCGAAATTTATTTAACACTTTATGCAGTTTAACAACAGTTTAAATAAAAAATAATTTGGATAATTTTTTTAACTCCGATTAAGCTTAAATTACAATTTGGACAGAAAAAATAAAGAACTTACTTTAACGGAATACGATTTTAAATATTAATCACATTTAATTAAATTTAAAATAATACAATTTTGAATAGAACAATTTCTTCATACAGGTTTTATTGAATTCATGATCCTAACTTAAAGGTTTAGAATCTATCTGTGGATAAAAATAAGCACATATCTTCAGAAGACCTTAACTGCTAATAAAACACAGTTTAATTAGGTAACTTATTAAAAGGTAATTTGTATGTAAAAACAACGCGATTTAAATTTTACAGATAAGTAAACTACATAATTTTAAAATTTGATACAGATTTACCGCCTCTTTTATTTTAACTTTTCAACTACTAACGAAACTGAATAGTACTTATTGCAATGTTTTAAATTGTTTTCTTAATTAAACTCCGCACAATAATGACTCCTACATACTAATGAATTCCCAGAGTAATTGTTTACATCATCAGGAAAAGCTGAACATTATTTCAACTAACACACCTCGATTTAAAAATAGTAATACCATAACTATGGCCTTGGCAAAAACGCCTAAATTAATATTTCTAAATGAGCTAATTTCACTGCAGAACATCTGTTAACATAATAGTCTCAAACCAGAAAGATTGAAAAGTATAGTATGCGCCTTCTGCTTCAGCAAAAATATTACAAACGTTAAGATTAATCCTAGAATTAGGCCTGCTCACATATGTTGCCACATAGAGCTATTGAATACATATAATAGAAATTTTGCTTTATTATTAAGCAGTGCACATATACTGCTTCCATTACGGTATCTTCTCATGTACGTAACAAAGTTACCAAAACAATGATCAACAGAAGAGGTAAGGAGGATGCCTCTTTCAAAAAACTTACAGAATTATTGTATAAACTTCAATATCAGATACTTGTATCTACGTTTGTTGAGAACATCATACGTTTCAGAATCATAACATGAATGAAGACATATTGTTGGGTTTTTTTTCTTTCTTTCTGACACCAGTTGTTACGTTATTTTCTTCCTTCACGTTCGTATGGGGTTTACGTGGATTTGGAGTGAATAACGACGACACTTGATGAAGTATCGAATAACACACTTTATTTAGCTAATATTAATCAGGACAGCTCCAATAACACTTTGTACAGTCGTCGAAGATCTACTATAAACACGCTGGAACAATCAGCGACACAGCCTTCATACTCGCAGGCGATAACGGTGGAGACAGCTTTCTGCAAAGCACCAGAGTACAGCTCCCGACTCTGCTAGGTCGTTCTCGGAACTCCACTTAGTCTCGAGACTCTCCACGCTACAACTCGCGATGCATTCGACGACACACAGAGCACGGCTCCCGACTCTTCGGTTCAGTCGTTCCCGGAGCTCAACACGCTCTCTCGACGATGCACTAACCGCGATACACTAAGAGACTCCTTCGGTGAACTCGACGACCCACTCGGCACTCGCTGCCCGGCTGTCAACACTATCCTCTCCGCAGGGACTGACTCGCTAGACGAGACACACACACTCGCCCTCTCGACGATAAAGCACATATTCGATGAGAGACACACACTGACTGCGGACCAGCAGGGTTTATATAGTTTTCGGCTGGTGTTCGTGAACATTCTGAGCTAAACCGGTAAGAATTCGTTCCAGAAGGTTCTCCATCCGTCCATGGTATATCGCCAAATGAGCGATTTCTGCCTTCCCTTGTCATTTTATGGCAACCCTAAAACGCTTTGCGGGGAAGCCATCTTACCGCGCCTCTACATTTCGTAACAATATATCATAGCTTTGGAACCAATTTATAACATGAAGGTATTTATAATAACTCATGATTACTATTACTCTCTGCCACAGTATAAAATGTTGTCATACTAGTTTGCAAATAATGTTCGCTTTCCAATCATATTACTTAATAAAACTTTAGTTGAAACAGTTTGTTACCAATATCATCTTATTATATTAATGCGATTTCATATTATAAGTGATGTTTCATAATTTCTTCTTCAGAATGGTTGTATTGATTTAATATGCAAAATTTATTGCTGAGGGTTTTCCGATTAACCCATGCTCGTATTAACATTACAAATGAGGGAAATTACAAAAAGACATCAAGCATGTATCGAACACACAGCCCGTTTGTAGAATTTGAACCTAAGTCAAAGTATCGATATCAAAGATCATATCCAGTCGGCCACGAGTGGACCATGGGCCCACTTTCATAGTTATAAGTAGGACCTGTTTTTCATGTCTCAAAAGCGCGACTTAGGGCAGATGTCAGATTTATACATAGTTATTATGACACAAAATCGGACTTTTTCGGAAATGATATAACTATATTTCGATTCTAAGACTTAAATTATGCCAGAGTGCCAAACTCTGTAAAAATCGCAGGAGTAGATTTTAAAAAATTACCTCTCAAAATTTTAGCTCTTCAGTCGTATTTGAACTTGATATATATAAATTTACTTATATCTCATTTTCAATTAAATTTATTTGACTATTCTTCCAAAATTCGAAACTTAGGTTTAATCCAAATTAAATTCGCCGCTATTTTCTAATTTACTTTTAAAATTTGTATTTTTGAGTAATTTTTATAAATTTTTCGAAAACATTTTTGAATTATGACCTATGAAATTTTTACCATCACTTAAAAGTAGATATATTTCTAGGTGTACCTGCAAAAGATTAGAGTTTTAAATTCAAAATTTCCAAGGATATACATACAACGAGCTAATGAATTTAAACATTAGGGCGTTGTGAAATTTCGCATATTTGTTTATCGCTTATGATAACAGCGTCAAATGTGGTTTACACTTTTAAAATTATTTGAAGAAATGAACGATGCACCATTTTTCCCGCTTGTGTACAAAGAAAAAATGTGAAGGAAAATAGGTTACGAAATTAAGAATTTAGGCATGTGAAATATTCTTGGCCCAAACTGAAAGCAAGTGCGCCAAGGTAAATTTATGAATTTCTTGTAAAATTTTCTTTGTAAAATTTGGTAAACTTCTCACTAAATTTTACAAAATTTAATATTTACGCTTAACTGCAGTCGTAGAAACGAAACATGAAAAAAAAAATCATGTCATTTCAGAAAAAGATTTTGTGTTCAAATACCTATGTTAGAACACTGCTATATTCAAATATAATATATATCCCAAGTGGCATTTTCGAAACTGAAAAACGAAGTTAAATTTCGCCAATCGGTCCGGTGGAACAAGAGATATATAACTGCCGCCCTCTTTTTTGTGCGACGTGGTTTTCCTTTTGGCAACGTTGCTTAGCCGCCAAAATCGGCAAACTTAGTTCATATAATTACACGCAAATTTCAAATTTCGCCAAAGGTTTAACGCGGTGACTGTCTTATTACGGAGGTATCCAAGGAAGTATTTATGAGAGGAAAAAAATTCTTTAACCTGGAGCACGAAAAATTTAGTTAAAGTTTAACTGAATAATTAAATGGTTGCTAAAATGAGATTTATTAAAAATTAAGTGCATTTACTTACCGTTGACGATAAGCTGCATAGTCATATTCGCAGATGAAGCCACGTTTGTTGCAACGCACGTGTATAATCCACGGTCAGCGGATGTCACCTTCTTAAATGTTACGATGGAAGAATCCTCTGTAGTCTGGACTGTAGTGTCTCCATGAGCAAGAAATGGAAGTCCATTTTTGAGCCAATGGAAACGTAGAGGTGGGTCGCCTTTCGTAACTATGCAGACGAGTTTAGTTCTCGCACCTTCGTCAACCGTATTACTTTCCCGAAAATAATGCTGGTCTATTACAGGAGACACTACAAAAAATAGTATACATTTTATATTAATAAAAGATGAATATTCAGCGAATTTCATGATTTTATATATTTAGATTATTTGGAATGTAACAGTTTGCAATGCTAAGTAAAGAAATTTAGCTAAATTTTTCAAACTTAATTAATACTAGAAAATCTAATCTTTTAAAATTATGTTAAATGCAATGTCAGATACGCGTTTATCTTGATGTTTGTTTATTCTGTATTAAATGCATATAGAAGAAAGCTAGTAAACAATATTAGTTTCAGTTCAATTAATTTATTGAAGTATTTCTATATAAATATACTTCTTATTTGATAAATAAAAGAAATCTACAAGTTCAAGGCTAACGAATTTAAAAACCACAAGTCTGTCTACAAATCACCGTTGTATATTTGTTGTCTGTTGTATATTTGTTGTATATTTGTATATTTGTTGTATAATTGTATATTTGTTGTATATTTGTACCGTTGTATATTTGTTGTTGTCTGTATACGGGAAACTATCCTCACCCAAACATCACTAAACATTTTTATTTGATATATTTCAATGAATTTTTAATGTATCGTAAAGGTATCATCACAAAAAATGAAGCAACTTATAAGGACATTTTTAAATATTAATGTGCATTTTTCATGGAAGTTACTTTTTTTGTGCTTATTACGTGCTCCGCCCTTAGGCACTACACGGAAAGGGAGGGATACCCCGTCGAGGTCTCTTTAAGGGAAATTGGCTCGTATCCACGTTACACATGGAGAAAACCACGAAAACGCCCAAGCAGCCAGCTCGTTCACCGGGACTCAAACACCGCACCGAACTACCAGTGTTCAGCGGCTTTTACCGCTCGGTCGCTGTTGGGCGGCAGTAATGGGTTTGTACCTTCATATCCTGCAATTGCTTTCTGTTTAAACTATCGCTGTCTAAAGTCAGAATTATCGCGATGTTGCGAAACAATATTATTCTTCAACTGGAAAAGCCAAGAATATGATTTTTTATATTCATGCAAGATATAGTATTATCTCGCAGTACTTTTTCCTTAACCTCAACTAGCGGCTAAAACGGAACAATGAGCTATTATTTTCAAACATAAGTAAATGTCATCCAGATCTCCAGACCTTAAGTTCTACTAATTTGTTTACAATAAAAGTCATAGAAGAGATCTTCCAACATTTCTGGCAGTGTGAAAAGATACGAAACAACAGCATGAATCAATTATTTGTGGAGAAATGTTGTATATATAATATACATGTATAAATATATATGTTGTATAAATATATAAAATATATATATCATCGTTAACCCTTCTGGAAGTACTAAAAGATGAAGAGTGTCATATTCAATAGCAAGTTTATTTTGGCTGAAGCTATTGAATATGGCATACATCTTTATTTTGGCTAAAGCTGCCATCCCAGAAGAGCAAGTGATTACTGACTCTAACTGTGAACCGAAGGGCCCGGGTTCAAATTCCAAAGAAGGCATGGATGTAATTTGTTCGTCCCTTCATAGAAGGCAACGATGGCCCGCTTCTTAAGTAACTCCATAATAAACAGAAAATTGCTTCCGACCTTAGCAGTGGCCAACGTCTGTGAAGGGCTACAGCCAGCCATCGAGGGCGAAAAAAAGTATTTGGCTGACTGTCCATCTGGCCAAAATAAGAAAGAAATGAAAATAAATGTGGGGAATTTCATTCACTTCTATCTTAATGATTTCCTTAGAATTAAAACGTTTTCTAGTTTTTAGATTGCTCTTTACATCAACTAAACATTCTTCATTAGACTTCAAATATTTCTGAAATGAAATCGCAAGCTGTGAGCAGTTTTATCAATATACACACGGGTTATTAAATCCGGTTACTTGAATGAGCAAATTCTGATCAATTTATCAGGAGGTATGCAGTTGAAAATTTCGACATTGGGGCATTTTTTTCTTCAAAAGAAAATGTACATGATTTTTTCCCCTGAAAAGTTAAACTACATTTTTACTTTACCGACTGGTTTAGCAGTATAAGACTAGTAGGACGAAAAATCCTAAAATCCTATTTAAAACTAAGGTAAGAGTTTTAGATTTTATCACGAATGCATTTCAAACATCACCTGCATTGCTTTTTTTGGTTTCGTTAAGTGTATTCCAGCTGAGTACATTACTCTAGTTACATTCAACGAACATAGGTATAAAATTCGGGTAAAATAAAAGACTCGGAAACAACCACGTTTGCTTCTTTAATATTGCAGGATATATAACCTAGCAAGCGGAATAACTGTCATTCACATATCCATTGCGTTTTTCATGCGCATTTTAAAGCTACTTTTGGCACTTAAGTGGCGTTCGCGAGAGTAATTTATGTGAACCACCGGACGTAAAGTACAGTACTCACACTTTATTCTCGTTACTGAAGAAAATCGCTTACAATTCACAGTTCTTCCGCTTGAGAAAAAAAACTTATAGGGTCTTTGGCCATTGTATCGCTTCTAGGGAAAGTGATAAGCATTATGTACTGCAGAGTTTTACTGCTTTTCTTAATGTAAACAACAGAATTTACTGAGTGATTTGAGTGCAGTTTGCCTCATTTTCTTCAGACTCAAAGTTTTTATTGCTCATTTATTTCTAAACTTAAATGAGATAAAATGAAACTGAATATCGTAGCTGTAGTAACGACCGCTTTAATGTCATGAAAAGTGGAAAAGACACATTTTATGCTCACTAAAACTGAATTTTCGAAGAAAATTGAAATATGATTTAATAATTTTCCTGAAATATAAAGAAAGAAATTCTGTTTTGCAAAACAATGAATTGTTGAAACAAAGAATTTTTTTTAATATTTGGACTATAATTCAGTGGTTTAAAACTGGCGGCTCGCGGACCACATGTAGCCTCCAAAGCAATTTCTTGCATTTCGAGAATATATTTTCCCTGAAATAATTAGCGTTATTATAACAAGAATTTAAAGAAAAAGTTTGAGACTGTTATAGTTCCGAATCCAATTTTACTTAATTTTTTTTAATAAAAATAAACGTGAGTAACGCTTCCGGAAATTCAGAAATGGAGCTAATTAATTTAGACTGTTTTATGAAACATATTCAATCATTTGAAAATACAAAACTGATTAACTTTTAATACTGCTTATCAGAAGATAAATGTCTTCAGTTACGAATTTTTCAATAAGAATGATCGCTGTTTTGGGGAGTACATTTACATGGCAGCGCAACCGGGACAGTGGTTAGCGACCTTGACTGCCGTACTGAAGGGTCCGGGTTGGCGACAAAATTGGCGATATACCATGGGCGGATGAAGAACCTTCTCGAACGAATTCTTACCGGTTTAGCCCAGAATGTTCTCGAACACAAGCCGAAAGCTATATAAACCCTGCTGGTCAGCAGTCAGTTAGTGTGTACTTCATCGAGAGGGCGAGTGTGTGTGTCTCGTCTAGAGTGCGAGTTAGTTAGTATCGAGTTGGTGTCTCGTCTAACGAGTCAATCCCTGCGGAGTTGATCGAGTTGACAGCCGGGCAGCGAGTGCCGAGTGGGTCGTCGAGTGCACCGAAGGAATCTGTTAGTGTATCGCGGTTAATCGCGTCGAGAGATTGTCGAGAGAGCGTGTTAAGCTCCGTGAACGACTGAACTGAAGAGTCAGGAGCTGTGCTCTGCGTATCGCCGAGTGCATCGCGAGTTGTAGCGTGGAGAGTCTCGAGATTACGTGGAGTTTCGAGAACGACCGAGTAGAGTTGGGAGCTGTAGTCTGGTGCTTCGCAGTGAAGATGTCTCCACCGTTATTGCCTGACAGTGTGAAGGCTGTGCCGCTGATTGTTCCAGCGTGTTTAGATCTTCGACGACTGTAAAAGTGTTTTGGAGCTGTCCTGATTAATATTGACTGAATTAAAGTTTGTTTCGATACTTCATCAAATGTCTTCGTTATTCACTCTAAATCCACACGAACCCCGTACGAACGTGAAGGAAGAAAATAACGTAACAGCTGGTGTCAGGAGTGGGGTAGAAATGCAACAATTGGTGTCAGGGATCAACATAGCAATTAAAATTGGGAGCTGCATATATTTTTGTTCCTCTTCCCAAGAAAAAGCAAGTAGGTTATTTTACTCATCTCTTTCGCCGTTCGAATTGTTCGAGATAATTTCATGCTTTGATAAAAACATTTTTGAAAGAAACGATACTTTTGTCTAATCTCCTGCTTCCTTTATGGTGCAAGGACAATTTAAAAAATAAATGAGGCCATTCTCCAAGTCAAGCCATTTTTTTCAGAGCTGCCGTATTCTTTTACCTCCTACAAAGAAATAAAATTTAGTCTTCTCAGGCTTTCAGACCTATCATTCGTCTTTCAAGCGCACACACCTCTAAAAAATCCCATGCTACTCACTTGCTCATTAAAGGCTCGTTTACCCAAGTGGAACTTTGAGCCCAAGAAATGTTAGTGAACTTCACGTCTCCGTTTGAAGGCTTTTTAATCGAATTCGTTTCATTTAGGAAGTATTTCACTCTTAAAGTTTTGAATGACATTATCGCCTAGCTGTGTATTTGTTTTATGCAATAAATGCATAAGTATCCAGTTTTACCTCTAAAAAAGGCTAAGTAACCTCTTTTTTCCTTTAGCGGGGCTATTAAGTTCGCCTAAGTTTCTTGGGCTCAAAGTTCTGCTAATGTAAATAGGCCTTAACGGAACAAAATGCTTTCATTCTAGAAGAGACACAGAAGACGAAAAGAATCCTTCATTCCCAATCTAATTTTTTAACTTTTAGTCAGGCCTACATTTTATCGTTCATACCCATTTTTCTCAACATTTTCTGTAAAGGTATCCACAACATTTATAAATAATCCTGAAGCTAGTATTTGTACATAATAAAATCGATTTTATTTAATTGATTTTTCTGAATTATATATAGATCAATATATCCAAGACTTGGAAATACATTTTCGATAACAAAATGAGCGAGACATCTTGAATAAAGTTGCATTAAAATTAATTGTCTTAACAGGAACATCATTAATTTAGGATTAATGTGTCCAACTTTAGAGTTATTTATTAAAAGAGAAACATATAATCCTTTCTTTCTCTAGTTATTTATAAAACATATGATATAACTGTACCACCTTTTCGTAAGCGTTTATTTCAGCTTCAGTAAGCAAACAATAGGATTTAGTTGACTATAAAGTTTCTTTTTTAGAAGCTATTTCGTGCTGTAATCTTTTAAGCTGCAAGTCACATAGGAGCGAATTGCTTACATTATAGGCCTTAAGCAGACATTAGACGTTAAATAGCTAAGGAAACCCCCTTTTTTATGGAAAACTTTCCTAAACAAAAGAGTAGTCTCGCAGATTTATCCTTTTGTTGAACATTCAGGTTTATCCTTACAGTTTTTCACATCATTTCCTACTAATATTTTTTCAACTTGCTATCCAGAAATTGCAGGAGTAAACACTACCAGCTGGCAGTCCTTAGGTGTATTGTCTCGAAGAGACTTTTTTTTTTTTTTTTTCCTTGGGTAAATATTACCACTTGGACCAAAAATTCGATTTACCCACCCCTTATCCAGCTTAAAAGTCCTTACCTGGCCTTTATTTTCGCAATAGTTGGTTGGAGTCTGATACTTCCAACTACAGAAGTGTCTCAAATAACGAAATTATTCGTGTTTTGGCAATATGAAATAAAAAAAAAATATTTCGTCAAACAGAAGAATGTAACTATTAATGCGGTATTCTGGTTCTTATCCTTATATTTCTGAATGCTTTATACTCGTTATGAAAAAATAAAATTATAAGAAGGTTGACTGATATAACAACAAAAACTGCGCTGGATATTTAATTTTCAAATCTGCAGTTTTTGAGGTCACTTTCAATATTCCTTGAGCGATCAGTTGATTAAATTAGAATAATTCAAGGAAATGAGTTTAACTGAACTGCAGCAAAAAATGGTATAATTTAATAGGCCATACAATAAAGACATATATAACCAAATCTGATCAGAATTAGAATACTTACCAACTACAGAAACATGCGTTGTTCCTGTGGCCGTTAAGCCATCCATACTTCGCACTACGCAACTGTATTCACCTTCATCTGCAGCCCTCTGTACGCTCTGAATAGTCAGTATGCCATCGTGGCTTACTTTTTGTCGATGGTTAAGAGGTAGTAATATCCCGCCTATAATATAAAGTGTAAATCATTAGTGACTAAAAGAAACATTTTAAATATTCAGGGCATAAGTTTATCGTTGTACAGTTCTATTTTTCTATCATTTTATAATACAAGACCATAATTTAAATAGCATTTTAGGTAATAAGCCCGACATCTGATGAAATTTCAAAAATGTTGTTATGAAGTTTATAATAAAGTATAATCTAGTGTAATAAGGATAACGAGTTTTGTACAATCTTTGACTGTAATCTGCGCACGTTACGAGACGCAAGAGTGTATCTAAAAGCATTTCAGTAAAATATTATAGATTTTGATGTACAATTACAATTACAATTCAATCTCATGAAAAATATTTAATAAACATAAATGTTTCTAGTATTTGAAGCTAATGTAATTTAGGAACTTGAAACTCAGCATTAAAATATTTTACAAGGTTCAAACTAAATTAAAATACAAATTTTTGGGCAGGCTATTATATAAATAACGCATATAACGCTGAAATTAATAACTGAAAATCATGAATTAATTCTGTTGCTTCATTTACAAGGAAAATGTTAAAATAAAAATTTTAATTCAGCTCATTTGAAAAAAAATTCAAAATGACACTGCGTCACAAAGTTTTAGGACAATATTTTCATTTCTGTTGAAAACAAACGGCAATGACTATGAACACATCTTTTTCTTTTATCATTTACAAAATCTTATACTTGCGGATGAAACTTTAAATGAAATTTTATGTTTGGTATCATGCATTTAATATCTGTTACTTCAGATACAAAAGAATAAATCTCGAGATGCAACACCGTTCTCTTTACGTAATCTAATTGCCTTCAAGCAGTTTCTTGAAAATAAAAATGGGACTGTGTTCAATCCTTTTTTTTCCGTTGTTTGTTTCTAAACTTGCCGCATGCTAACTGTTTTCACTTTCACACAGCGAATGCAAAACACGCAATTTCAATTTCGAGAGCATTTACTTTGTTACGTTAGAAAACGTAACAATGGAATCAAACTATAAGGTATTTCTCCCGCCTTCTTGGCATGCCTTCGTGGTGTGGTGGGCTGCACGCTCAGCGCATACTTAAAAGGTCCGTGGTTCGATTCCCGGCGAAGGCGTTGCATCTTTTTCATCCCTTCGGCTTCCAAAATAAACCTAATGACTCTGTAAGTGGCGCCCGAACTAAAAGGGTGTTGGATGATGATTCTCCTCACCCAGGATTTGGCGATTAGGACCCCTAAAACCCCATTCGCCCTTTAAAAGGGGGGAGTAGTTCTCCCACCTTCTTAGCATGCCTTCGTGGTGTAGTGGTCAGCACTCTCGACGTGTATTCGCGAGATCGTTGGTTCGAGTTCCTATGAGGGCATTGCTCATTTTTCATCTCTCCTGCTTCCTGAATAAGCCTAATGGCTCTACAAAACCCATTTTAGCAATTAATTAAACGAAGACTTCCAGAAACTCAATGAACCTTCCGCGAAGGATTCAAAAAATGTATACAGAGGAGCAAGCATATGTTTCCTTTAAATATTAATCTTTTTAGCCCTAAATCCTAAACTTTACAAGGTACTCTGCGTACCATACTCATTACCCATATTTTAAGCATTAAATTATTATTACGATGAAAGCAGAATTGCTAATTTCTCTGATATTTCAATTTGTGATTATTTTTTAAAAGCAAATTTGATTTTTTAATGTATTTAATAAAAAGTCCTTGCGTAAATAATGAATAACGCCTGATTTTCTTAAAACGTTTAGTACAGGTCAATTACTATTCAGCAGAAGTTGTTAAAATTTTGAATTTTTTTTTCAGTCGACTTGCCTCCTGTGATGTTCATATAGAAGATAAAAAATTAATGATGTTATCATTAATTTTATCATTGTTATCAAATCATTACTGAATGTTAACTTTATAGAAGGTTTGAAGTGTTTTAGCCTCTTGCTCATCTACAGCACTGACATCCTAATATAAGTTCAATGTTCCCCTCAGCGATATTCGCCTGAAAATCATTCAGGATTCTTAAGCCTAGCCATGCATTAAAAAATATTTTAAGCTAGTGGCTCAATTATATTTAAATTCTTCATTGAAAGAAAAGTTATTTATTGAATTGTATCTATCTTTATAAATTTTATTTCAAATTTATTTAACATTATATAGCTTTATATATTTATTTTATTTCATATTTATTTAGCTAAAATTATATATCTTTATATATTTTGTTTTATTCCAAATTTATTTATTTACTTTATTTATTAACAACAATTTAATCCCACTTCTTATAGTATACCTTTAAACACATCAAATTTACATGCATGAGACAATCTTATACATAAACCCTTTCTTTCTCCTTGCAAAACACCTTGGAAACTACAGAACTGTATTGTATGTGAGGTCACATTATTTAAGGAAAGTGTGGTATTACAAATCATATTTTAAGAAATCTTTCATCGTTCATACACTTTGCATCATTAAGATCTTAGCATAATTCAATGAGAGCTGAAGAATATTTTTACGTATCGAAGGTTTATCATTGAAATTTCAGTTTTAGTTTTTCACGAGTACGAACTTAAACTTTTAGTTAGTATTCGGCTTCTTCTTATTATGATCCTTAGTAATGTTTTAGTGATAATTTGTATAACATTATACTGCAATGTTCAAAACGTTACTGAAAAGTCTCTAAATGATTCTGTTATACATTTACCTCATATTGTTTTAATTCCTGATTATTATTTAAGCCTATAAAAGTAAAACAATTTATCAGGAATCGTTTAAATATGTGTCAAACTAAATTGCTGATATCACTCTTGCTGTATCATACGATTAATGACATATTAAAAAGCATCTGATTTTAAGTAAATGTTCTTTTTAAATTTATGTTGTTCAGCGGTATCGAAAATTTCATTTTGAATCTACTTTTGCAGAAACATCGAACCATCTGATGTATTTATTATACAGAGAAGACTGTTTATTACAAAAATGTAATGAATAATGAAAGGAAGTGACAGATTCTTTTAAGGAGTGAATAATGGTATAAAGCGATTCATTTCAAACTACTTTGAAAACGAGTTTTAAACCGAAACGTACGCAATACCAGAAAGAAATCAAGCAGCATTTTTAAAATTAAAGATTGCGCTAGGGAAATCAATATAAAACACTAAAAGATAAGTCATTTTTTAAGTCACCATTTGGAGGAATTTTACAATTTAAGTTCCTACTGTATGTTTTGCGAGCTCCACACGCTGTTGAATTATTCTGATAAATTTTAGGTGCAAAGAAAGCAATTTTAAAAGAAATGCGTGTTTTCGCAGTATGGAATGTTTTAAAGTGGGAAAAATTCTCTTCTGTCAGCTTGATTAATGCGAAAATAGAAAAATTAGGTTCAAGAATTCGCAGAGTGTGCAAAAACTAAATATTTAATTCTATTCGGTTATTTTTTAAGTAGAGAAAAAATAACGCTAAAATTCTTTCCATATTTATTCCACAGGAATGAATACTTGCCCTTCCAATATGTAACATTTTGAAATGAAATATTGAAGTTCTTTAGATTAAATAAATTACAGACGATTCTTTTATTTTCTCTCCAAAATTTGCAAAACGCATCAAAAATTTATTATAAAAGCTATTTTTTTAAATCTTTCCATGGTGGCAGTAAAAGCATGATGCTCATAGAAAGCTGTTTAAACTATTTTAAACAATATGGTGATTTTGTAAAAATTAGCTGATCGCAACGAGATCTGACTTTGAAATTATTCCATTAGCGGAATTAAAACACTTGCTATATGATCTCATTTGGACAAAATATAATGAACTTCAGCTTTAACTGAGCAATGAAATCTGCAAATCAGCTTACTTTTTTAAATCCAGTAACACATTTATTAAAATTGATGATTTGTCCTGTAGAGTAAGTAAACTTTCAATTCCAGTTATAATGATTTCATTTCATTTTCATCGGTCCCTTTAAATTAAGGCTGAAAATATCGTTTTTTACGTTTTTTCGATATTTAACATTTTGAAGTAGTTTTTAAAAAAATATGCTCCAAAGTCTTCTTCCCAATTAACGATTTCAAAGAAATGATTAGATTTTTAATATAGTTCTGAGTCTGAACGAACACTTTTGTTTACTTCCGAAATACGAAAGATTTTAATTTTGCTGTAATTTTTCATTTTCAAAACGGTTTTTTTTTCCTTCAGTATTCGTGAAAAGTTATTCTGTAGAGAAGTATTTTAAAGATTACTGGAATCTTTATATCAGGAACCAGATCTTGTACCATAGAAATGATATACCAAATATATAAAAATTTTAAGAGGGTGCAATCAAAAAAGAATTGGAAAATAATAATTATTAAAAAAGACACATAGTTTGTATAAAGTTTTAAGAAAAAGTTAAATTCTCGCCTAGACAAAAAATTTTCATACGTCGCAAATTAATGTTCAAACACGTTAAATAACAGTACAATAATATACACATCGGTTACGCAGTTGATGAACCTAGAGTAAATCTGATTCATGTGAATTGATGTTTTAACTTTGCGTTTGGTCCTGTACATAAGTTAAACTGAATGAAATATTAAAAGAAAATGAAAGGCTTCCGATTTTAACGGCCGCTTAAAGGGTTTGTTAGGTTTTTTACGTTCTTGCTGTGCTCGTAGTCTACCAGTCTGCTGCCACACTCACTCCTACTAACCCGTTATTTTTTAGGGGCTTTTTAGCTTTATTATTAAGCGTCATTTTCTGCGAATTTATGACATATGCAATTAAACAGAAAAAATACAAAAATTAGAACGAAGCAGTATAATAGTATACATTTATAGTTCTCGATGCAGCGTTAGGTGTTGGAATAATTTTTTTTTTTTTTTTTTTTTTTTTTCAGTGTTTCCTCAGCTTATCATATCAATGGTCAGTTTTTTTTTACTACGATGGCTTTACACAAATTATTTTCTGCCTTTTTATTATTAACGTTTATTTTATTCATTAAATATAACATTTTTGCCGCTTATGGCGAATAACATTCGA